TTCAAACACTCATCACGATTTCAACCGGAGGACAATCAAGCATGCTTGGCAACACTGAATGCATCGTGTCTGTTGGGTCTGACCTCAAGTTACAATGGACCCAGACCTGCGATGGATCTCTCAATCTCTCAATTCGACTGATAACTGGATATAAGTCTCTGCGGAAGCATCGAAAGGAGAAGGAGAAGCTTTTCCACCATACTGAAAGCTGGGAGAACAAGGACAGAATAGTACAATTCGAGCTTGCCTCTGCAGATCCCCATGGAGACCCAAAGCAGACCGAACGTCCCGTAAGGAATAGACAACTTCGCCAGGGTGACGGGAGAGAGCATGGCCGAAGGACATCTGGCAAAAGCAGAGACAATCTAGCTGCAAACAACCAGAGCGAGGATGACCAAAGCTGCGAGAGTCAGGACCAGAACGACAGCAGCCAGGACCAGATTGCTGAGAGCGAGGTAATTGGTGATGACATGTATACAACGAGTCGAAAAAATGAGGCCAATACCGTATCAGCATGTGTATATTGCCGAAATATCCGTGAGAAGGTCGAGAGAGAGTTCAGCAAGCGGCGAATCCGACTCCGAGAGTGTCATTCTTCATGGATAAACAACCCCGAGGAATTCTTCGGAGCTACTCAATTCATCTCCAGCGAGCAGTGGTCATTCAGAGCGTTGACGGACTCCGAAAATCAGCTCGATAAGGAGCGGAATCCATTTCACAAGCTCAACCTTGCATACCATCTCCAGAAGCGTATAGAAGAGTCAAAACTTCCTGAACTCAGCTGTCGAAAAGCTATGCTGCAAGAGATATATCCAGGATTTAAGAATATGCAGCGCAAGGATAGAGATCCTCTCTACCAAAGATTTGAGAGATACCTTAAACAAGGGGAAGCCCTCCTCATGATCACCACAGAAAATACTGGTATTCTATTAACAGTCACCCAGCTTTTGTCAAGAGCAGAGTAATTCTACACTCCCTTTATTCTTAACCAATGCTTACACACCATTCCACAGTTTAGCACACTTATCGAAAGAGTGGGAGTCATGTGCCTGCAGATTCCCCTGGTTGACTACCGGCATCCTTCAAGAGTCCAAACAGTACGAGGAAGTAACGACCATCATTCGTACATATATGCAGCGTATGTCGTACTCCAATATCCACGAGTGTCAGATGTCTAAGTCTTACAGGTACGCCAAAGCGAAGAACAACTGCGCCTCACCAAGCGTCAAGAGAGAAGAGACTGCAGTTCCAATTCCCAGAAGAGAGGATACCAAGCCGCCCTGCCGATCAACCAATATCCGGTCCATTCTTAACTCCCCCACCATCCCATGGATCGAGCCCCATTCCCAGCTCCTCCGCACTTTGGGACGAAATTGAAACCGCCTTTGCTGGGAATTGGCTTGGTGACCACGCTTATTTCCTAATGCTGTTCTGCTCGATGGGCGGCTGCGTACCCGAGTACGTCTTCGAAAGATCACTGTCATCACAGTGGCGGTGGTCAGATGATGGCACCAAGCAACTTGTTACGCCCGCCCAGGCTACCCTCGATCCACAATTGGCCGCCTTTGTGTCGAACCCTGAACGATTCAAGCAAGCTCTTGATCGAGTAAGAAATCTGGGCTTTGTAAGCGAGTCGTCCTTGCCTCTCTCCAGCGAACTCTACACAAAACTATCCCAATTCTTGACAAAGCAGGTCAAAGAGAAATGGTCCATCAGAGCTCTGAGATGGCTCTGTTTCATATTTCCGCGGCATGAACTGTGGGAGGAATCTCCGAGTTTCACGTCGATCGTGCGGTCCCTTCAGCCCCTCATGGAACGCCTGGTACGATCCGTTGAGGAAGCCAATATACCACAGTCGTTAAAAGACGAGGTTTCAGAGGCATTACTGGCAGCATCTAAAGTCGGTAATATCCGGTCGAACGCACTCTCGTTAGTCGCCGATCTCCTTGGCGACGAATCGCCACGTCATCTTCATGCCGAATTTGCCCTACAACGAAGCATTATGTTTCGCCTCGATGGAGATTTCAAGAATTCCGAGCGTGTTATCCATGATTTCTGCTGTCGCTGTGGAACTCCTGAGCAATCATGCTTATCATCCTCCTTTCAGCAGCGACAAAAGCGGCTAAATGCTCTATACGGACTCATTCATCGTTCGCATCTCGAGAATTTGGTTCAGTGCGAGCAGTATCAGCTTGCAACAGAGCACATCAGTCATTGGCAGCTGACAGAAACAGCTTCGCCAATGGAATGGGGTATTTTACCGTCTAGAACACTCACTACTTCCAAAATATTTCGATCACAAGCAGCTTTTAAATGTGCCCAGGAAAGTCTAGAGTTATGCGTCAAGTTTCTGCACCCCCGCGAACCAGCCCGAGCCCAGGTCTTGTGCCAACTAGCGGATGTATACAATGACGTTGGGTTTTCAAGTGCGGCCAACGAACTCCTTGCTCCCGAAATCGAGGAGGGGAGGAAGGAAGCCACCAAAACAAAAGCTTTCCGAAGGTTTTTGGTGTCTTCAGTTGAAACTTGCGTACAAACCCGACAATATGACGATGCAAGCTTGGACCTTGAACAGCTCGGCGTCATTTTCAGCAATCTGAGTCGCCTGGACGTCAGCGATCAGCTTCTGCATATCCGCACTCTTGTCGCATCAGCGCGAATCTGTCACATGCGAGGAGAATTTAGGAGTGCCATCCATGTATGGGACGTGGCATTGCGACGTGTACAATCCTATAATAGTTTCGAAGGTGAAGGATTCACGTACTCGGCTATTCATCTTTCACGGTCACTCGCATATCTGGAATTGGGTGAGCATGAAAGGGCGGAATCCTCATTTAAACACGGAAAAGCAATATTAGATCGCGGACCGAGGGACTACTGGATACCAACCTTTGCGAAATGGGTTGAAGAAGTCTTGCAAAAACTAGAGTCGATGGCCGGTTGGGCTAAGAGTCAATGACGTTGCCTCCGCGTGGCAAATCCGACGTTTCGCCGAGAGAGGTCGCCACTCTAATTCTATTTATCTCTGTCTGCATCCTTCCATCAACCGCAAATGATTAGATTTGCATTTCTCTGGCGAGCATCAAAACTACATAAACATAACGACATCCGAATGCACTCAGCTCTCCCAATCATTGACTTCAGTCCGATTCTTTTCGGTTCTTTAGAGAGTCGTCAATGTACTATTTCGGAAATCGATAATGCGCTGCGGACCGTTGGTGCTTTTTACCTTCGAAACTACGGTATTGAGAGAGCGAAGATTGACATGTGGTTTGAATGGGTAGGTCAGCCTCAGTGCCCTGCGCGTTTTGACGACTAATATGAAAATTGAAGAGCCAACGATTCTTCGACCTCCCACTTTCTGAAAAGGAAAGGTTATTCCCAACGCCTCGGTCCTTTGAACAGGGATATTTTGGAATTCACAAGGAAAAAGTACGCGAGCAGACCGCTTTAAAAGAGAACTTTGATTTCGGTGACCCAGAAGCCAATAATGCGTCCTGTTGGCCTCAGGAAGAACAGCTGCCAGGATTTCGAGATTTCGCAGCAGACTTTCATCAGGTATGCGAGCATTCTAATGATGGTTATGTTGACTAAACATCAATAGGACTGCTCTAAACTGATAGACAAGCTACTTGAGTGTCTTTCAGTGGCACTGAACCAAGAGCCTGATTTCTTCGGCTGCTATCACACTGGCTCGATGTTCGTGTCTAGTCTCATTCACTACCCTGCCGTATCCTCCGACAGTCTAAGGTCAGGTCAAGTAGTACGAAGCCCAGCGCATTCCGATCTTGGGACCCTTACTCTTCTCTTTCAGCAAAACATTGGAGGTCTTGAAGTGGCGGATATGAGCTCTACCAATAAATTATCAAGTGCGGCTGTGGAAAAGAGCGCCACGTTTATCCCGGTTGAGCCAGATGCTGAAACAATCCTAGTCAATGTTGGCTACCTGTTGATGCGATGGTCCAATGCGAGGTGGAAAAATAGCGTCCATCGGGTTTCGGAGCCTCCTAGCTTAATTGATAAGCAGATCGTACCTGAGAGATACAGTTTCGCCTTTTTCAGCTTCCCTGATGCTCATACTGTCGTCGAACCACTCCCGGCTTGCCACAATACCGAGATACCCAAGAGATGGGGTCCAATAAATGCCGGCAAGTATCTTCTCAGTAAAAGAGACAAATTGTATTCTTAAGAATCTGTCAATAGGTTAGGACATCACAATTCACATTTTGGGATTTGAGTGAGTAGATCACGTGCACAGAGTCCGCTCGGACCTCTTCATAAGACGGAAAAGTTTTCGGGAACTGCGCGTTGTACCCACTACACGCCCAACTACCTTGATTATTGACGACGGGCCATGTTCACAGCTCCTCATATTATTATGACAACACGTGCCGCTCGAGCGCTTCGCCTGTTCTCAATAACTACCCCGCGTTTCCAATTCCAAACTCAGCGCTCTTCACAAGCAATCACCTTATTCAAGTCGCTCTCAACTGCTCCTTCCGTCATGCAGCCGAAGATAGCGACAGGGGAAGACGAAAACAAGGTAAAGTCCGAGCTTGAAGAGCTGGTGAGCAGCGGATGGCAGCTCGACAAGAATGAAGTACAAGTAGCGAAGACATATCATTTGGCTAGTTATCGCAATGTGAAAGTATGTAGTGGTTTCTGCAGCTCAAACGAAGCTAACAGCGTTTAGTTCTTATCACTCGAGATCATGTCGCGAAGTCAACTTAAGAACCATCATCCGGTGCTGACCACTGTATGTCCCTGGGCTGCAAGTCGAGGATGTAACAGCTCACTCTTTTGAAGACCGTATCCTCAGTCACAGTACATTGGACGACCCATAATCCTCCCGGCCTCACTGAGAAGGATACACTCATGGCTAAATACTGTGATAATGTGGCGGAGATAATAGGCACGGTGGATCCGGAAGAGTCAAAGAAATGCGGCTCTGCGCAGTCGCAAATTTGAGCGAATGAACAGTTATGCTCTCTTTATGACTTTTCAAATTCTAAAATTCAACATAATGGGGCGGTTTTTTGAAGAAATAGGCCGTTTACGCCAGCTCACAGGAATGGTCTAAGGCTGTGATAGAGCCTCCAACAAGGTTACCATCTAACTTGGAAGGCTGCGGCGATGTCCTGTTCAGCCTCTGATGGCAAGGAATGTGATGACCGTATTCTGAGCAGCACGCCGGGTGCTCAGAATAGGCATTCTGATCAAGGCACCTTGGCAGAACTATGTAGGCTCCTTACACCCGACACTTAGTTGTCAATTTGAACTCTAGTTACAACTGCTACTTCACTCGTCTACCAGCCTGTTACCATTTGTACCTCATTGATTAGGGTTACCTTGTTGAAGCGCCTCAAGCACATTTGCCTATTGGAAAGCCGAAACGCCTCTGTGTGTTACGGACTACTTACTCTAGGGATAAGCCGCTCTTGCTCCTCGAAGCATAAAGGTTTATTACATAGCCCTTGCCTTTTTAAATTTATTCTAGAATAACTACTTTCTATGGACCAATCTTTTCTATATTATTTTCCTAATGGTCTCTCTCTCTATAAGTATATAGAAGACTTAAACTAACGTCTATTATATTCTTTAATTATTAGAGACTAGTATTAATTAAGCTATATAGATTAAGACTCGATGTAGAGCCTATCTTTGTATTTATATGTCCGATGAACTCTGGGTATAGGTATAGATGTTGATCTGGCGACGAATTGTAAGGCTTCCAGTTCGGTCTCATGGCAGGGACCTTTAACGAGTCGATGTCGACCTACTCGAACGACGTTACGACCTAATGTGCCGCAGATCTTGTTCGCAATTAAAGTTCGGATATGTAGAAGGCGCAATATGCATCGATCAAGAAAGCCTGATGCCATGGTCCATCGCGGGCATGCGAAGCCTGTAAAGTTGCAGAGGAAATGATAGGATTGCCTCTTCAGTAGACCATCTTATGTACAACGAGGTAGCATCCTTGTAATACAAGACGATGATTCTTTGGACTCAAACACGCAGCCTCTACGTTTGTCATTGAGTTCCTCCTCAATCTCCAAGTCTCGTTGTTCCGAAGCTTCCGTCTGACTGGCGCATGCGCGTTTTATGGCCACATATCCCACAAGGATATCGAAGAATCACTTGGGAAAGCTCGGCGTTTCTTA